ATGTTCAGATGACACATCAAATAACTGGCCACCACAAAGCCAAGATGGCCCCCAAGAAAAATAAAAGTGCCTGTGCCAAAATATCGTATGAGGGGATCATGTCCTGGAGCAGGCAGTCAGAGCACGCTGGCACGTTCCCCTGCACTTCCTGAGCGCCCGATTCCGAAACTGCCAGAGCTGCTTTTCCAAAGGGATGCGGTACTGCAAGCTCTAAAAAGGAGCACACCGGGCTCAGTGTGGAAACGCTCAGGCTTCAGCAGCATCCCCTGAACTGGAATAGCTCTTAGGAGGTCACCCTGCGATGCAAGAGTGTGTGTGGCCAGAAGGTTGTGGTGTCCTGCATCCTGTCCTCGTCAGGGTGCTACAGCCAAAAAATGTCGACTGGGCATCAACTCTCAGCTTTCCTTGTGTTATTACTAGGATATTTGAGATTTAGTGAAGGTTCTGTTCTCCCCTCCCTGGCTTGTTTTCTATTAGTTTTTCCTGTAAGGAAGGCTTCTGTCTTATCTTGTGTCTATGAGATTCATGCGATGTCCACAGATACAGTACTAACACCACCCACTCATGAATCTGTTTCCAGAAATGAAGAGATGGCCGTGACTGAGTTTAAGATATTAAATTAATGGATTTGTTTTTCTTTGTCCATTTTTGGACCTTTGGAGAAGATCCAGAATCTCCCAACCAGAAATGGTTCCACTCACTTCTCTTAAAGCAGTTTTCTCTTATTCCAGTTGTCATTACTTACTGTTCTGTTTACTCTCCTCACAGCCTGTGCTTCCCTCACAGTCTCCCCTTGCCTTCATAGTCTCCAAACCATAAATGCACCCCATTCTACTCTTCCACCTAACATCTTCCCCCCTGCAGATCTTCTCCTTGCTTCTTCCCCTTTCCATTTTTCCTGCCCTTTTTGATCTCCCCAGTGCTCTGTGCTATCCGTGTGTCCCCTTACGTTGACTTTCCCATGGGTGCCTTGGCAGAGCTTCTTCTTGCTGCTCATCGGGTTTGTCAGCTGGCTCTTGGCTACTGCCACTTCTCAGCAGTGTCCTGCCCAGTCCCACGTGCTGTCACGTTTCTCCTGCCCGCTCGTGGTCTCAGTGGGGAGCTCTTCCCCTCGAAGGCAGCCCTGCTCCCATCACATCAGAAACGGCAAGCGTTGGCCTGCCAAAAGTTGCCACCACTGCCTAAATCTGAATAAAACCCTCTCAGTCCTCATCCCCCAAGTGCTGTAGCCCTCTTTTGTATTCATTATTTTATTCAGCGCGTTTGCATGTAGGTGGAGGCTGTTGGAGAGAGTGAGCAAGCGCTTCAACGCATTGATTAGTTGCATAATTACCTTTCGTATAGATAAAAAAAAGTGCAATACCTGGCAATAAAAAACTGGACAGCATGCCTAGATTGGAGACCAAAGACTGAGAATTAATTCCAAATATGACCATCTCAGGCCAGCAGAAGGTGAAAATACCAAAGATGTTCCATTTTTTGATTTGGAGTGAATAGGTTTAGTCTTTTCCTGGTATGTGTCTGTAGGTGTGAAGCAGAATTCAGGATATCGCAATAAGACAACAGAATAACTATTTTGCTACTTTCTTTTGAGGTACCCACTATGAATGTGAGGATTATATTTTTTAAAATAATGTAAGTGTGAGAATAAGAAGAAAAAGATGGTGGGCTTAACTCTAGTGACTGAAAATAGGATGTTGCCCCTTTGACTGCCTCTGCTGTCTGGTAGGAGATGACACGGAGATCCAGCGCTGGGATCCCAGGCTCTGGGGTGGCCCTAAATGGTCCGAACTTGTGATTCAGAGCCATGAGACTTGGCCAGCTCCTTGCGGGCAAACCAGTGCACTCAGCGCGTAGAGGATCATCTAATGAAGAGAGCTCACTGTGTTGGTAGCAAAGCTTAAACATAAAAATTGTGTCACTTGTGAAAAGGAAGTGACTCTGTAAAGTCCATGATGGCTCCCATAAATTCCTGGCCTGATGTGGTAGAGGCTGCGACTATGACTCATCTGCCTCACTCCCACTTGTGTCCGTTTGTGTACTTTTTGGTAAGTTATAGGCACTGAAAATGAATCCGTTTTTCTCCAGCATCTTCCACATTTAAGCAGCCTCACAGAGGAAACTGCCATAATTAATGAAGATACCGCATAAAATTCTTCCTTGCTTAAAACAGCACAAAAATACTGGGTCCTCAGAAGACATTCAAGCTTTTGGATACCAGAATGGATAAATAGTTCTGTACTTCCACAATGTTTCCATCGATGTGGAAAGAAAGATAGAAGAAAGAAAAGAAAAATAGGAAATTATTTTACTTCTGGCATATGAAGTGGAGGAGAAAAGAGCTATTTTTAAAACATTTCCAGTGCTTTTGGAAAGACTGTTCCAGTTGCTGTCAGGTACAGCGCAGGTATTACGAATGGGCTCATTTACCGTGTTTACACTGGCTGCCGCGAGGCTGACCGGCTAGTGGAGATCCCGGCTTGCTAAGTGCTCTCTGTGCACACAGCAAAAATAATCCCTGCTCCAGTACACTGATTTCTAGACAGATGTGAGGAGAGAAAGAAGATGTGCACTTTAAACTGCGGGAAAGAGGAGGATAGGCCAGATATCCTAGTATAATGCTTTAAACAAAGACTATCTTTTTATAAACTTCATAATTATTTTTTTTACACAAGTGACAGCTCCCTTCATGCCAAATCCTGGTCTCATTGGGAAAAATGGCAAAACTCCCAGGATATCTGGAATTCTTCTCTTTGTACAGAATTCATTGAGGAACTTTGTATTTCTCCCTTTTTTTCTGTTTCTTTTAATAAATTGGCATATAAACAGTATTTTTTGGATTAGAAACTAATTATTTACAGGAGAAACAGCATTTTTATTTAAAACACTCAATTGTTTACTTCAAGAGTACTTATGTGTCACTGAGTCACCAAACCACGATTAAATTCTGGGAAAAGGCTTATTGCGGAGGTTCCTTGGGTCCCGTGACATGGTAGGATGGGTCGGATTCTGATTTCAATTGATGTCCTGATCTAAATTTGTCTCCTCTTTGATCTTTTGATCAACGGGCTGTTACGGAGTTTGAGAGGTACCACAAGATGACAGGCCCAATAGCAAAAAGTTTTTGTCAGCTCTGTTGTGTGGCTTGTGCATAGCAAACATCAAGCAGAAAATACTGCTTTTCTCCAGAGTTTAAGGAGATGCTGTCGGTTCTGAGAAGAAACCTGAGACCCAGGTAGGAAGGAAGTTTCCTTCCAAGGAGAGTCTCTTGCTTGGAAGGAAAGTGAAAGAGACAAAAAGCACTGCCAAACATGGAAGCTGGAGGGTATTTTAACAGTTCCTGCTATAAAACTTTTCAGTTGGTTTACTTTGCACTTGCTTTACAGTTAGAGTAAACACTAAGATTTGGGGATTTTTTTTTTTTCTTTTCCTGGAATCACGAAGCAGTCTTGAGTCTTGCAACAGCAATTAATGTAGTTTAAAGATTTACTAGATAAACCAAGTTAATGTAATGAGGCATAAAATGATGAAAAAGAGCATAAAATTACGGTGAAAACAGAGCTGTTAATGCAGACAGTCAAAAAGAAAAAGGAAAGGAAGGAAGGGAAAGGAAAGGAAAGGAAAGGAAAGGAAAGGAAAGGAAAGGAAAGGAAAGGAAAGGAAAGGAAAAAGGAAAGGA